AAATGTATGCTGTTTTAAAAACCTCGCGATTGCTGAGCAAGAAAACGACACATTCATATTCCAATGCCGAGGTTAAGAGAAAGTCGATCTTGGGAACTATAAAGTTATTGTTTGCATGTCACAGTTGACCACAGGTTCTTGGTGAATACGATAGTGGTTTGTATTTACAAGCAGGAGTGTCAATTTCGAAAATGGAGGATGAGAATGGATCACGAACGATAATAATCGACTCATTAGAAGACAAGGTCTATTAGACCGTAATCTTCGAGCAGAAAGGTTTTTCATGGAATCATGTCGAGAATACGAACTCGGATGAACATGTTCCTCTATTCATAACCTTATACGAGGTTAGTATTAAAGTAATCTTTGTTGTTACTAAAATTTCAGTGCCTTTGTCTTCGCCTTCTTCAGAACTGCAACGATTCGAATTCCTGCACCTATTCATTCCTTCGATGAGGGTCTTCGTAGCCGTATTCATACGACTGCAGTACCGCTAAAAACATTTAGCTAGTTTTAGAATTACCTAATAATTCTATTGACATTAAGTAGCTTAAAGCTTTAGCAATCTAAGGCGATTGAACTCGATGCGATTTCTAGTATAAGTGCTCCTGTAGTGACTATTTCAGAAGCTCGAAGGTATCCTCTACGACGATTTCAGCTGTAGAAATCCAATCAAATTGAGGAATCGTACGTCGTTCTGGATCGATCGAAGTTTCATTCCATTCGATTGCAATAAATGCGACCACAAAGACTCATACATCGGAAGATAATACTATTTTTACTACTACTGCTACTACTGCTACTACTGTAGGCATTCGAATTATCGACGCTCTAAAGAAGTCAAGGACTGAAGCGCCAGGCATATGACGTATTTTTTAGAATCTACAGTAGGCTTGTCGATAATATAAGATGCTTTGAATAGACCTTCAGATAGTTTTGTGCTTACTATTACAACAGGGAGCGGATAGCACAGTGGTAGTGATGCCGGTTATCACGAGCAAGGTACTTGTTCGAACCTGCCCTAGGCACACCATGCCTCTCACCTTCCGGAGTCAGAAAATTGGTGCCGAACCTGTACACTCTCAGCAACCCAGATAGGAACGCTCCACCCTGGCTATCTCAGGACTTCAGCAGGAATCGACTCGACCAGCATTCTGCGAAATGGGCGAAATGAAAATCTTCAAGCAGCAGTTTAAGTTACACGTAAAAGTTAGAAGACCATCGTGAATGAGGTTAATTTTCCTGGTTTGTGAGAACGTTTCTCTAAGATTCTTTATGAGATACTTACTTATTTGATGCCTGAACAACCCGTCATCACTAGTCGTGCGGGCCACAGCATTACCATCATTTTTCCGATATTTGCTGGTTAAGCCATTGTGATTCTCTGGAATCCCGAGGACAGTCTGGCCAAAGTGCGCCCCAAGTCGTCACCACCATAGGCAATCGCAGCACTTGTGGATTAGAGGGAGATTTGCCACCATGCGACTTTGATACCAGAACGGTGGCGGATCCTGGTATTGGTGCACTCTTGGCAGGACTTCCTACTGGAAACGCCGAACTTCTGCTCAGCCTGGGAGTTCTGCCAAGGGAATGGATCCCCCGGTGTACATCACAGCCCGACACCAAGGAACACCTTCCCAGCCATGATGAGAGGGTCAACTGTGGGCAGGGTAAGTAAGATAGGCTCACCGAATAAAGCCGTACTACTTGGATAATTGGGTAGTCCGCCTCACTAGTTGTGCGGGTCCCAGCATAATCTTCTCCATCCTCTCACAGTTTTGCTGGTTAAGCTATCGTGGTTCCTTGGAGTTCCGAGGTCTGCCTAAACAAAGTTACAGCTTTTTTTCACACTTTAACAGATCGTCATTGTTCTATATACTCTCAAAAGACTGATAGATGTCGAAAACTTTATGATATATGTTTGTACAGAACATAGAATAGCAAACATCTTTAAAAAAAGACAAAGTAATCAGCAGTGAAGATGGAAGTCTAGCATACAGCATCAATTTGTTGAACACTAGAACCAAGACTACGAGAAAATGTCTTAAAATCGGAGATAACACTTTCCGGCACGGTAACTCAATAAAGGGACACTTGAACAATTTTTGCATTGGTAGGGTTTAGATCCACGGATACAATCGTGTTTGATAAGCGAACACTTCAAAGAGGTATGACGAATAACACAGCGATCGAAAATTTACGTAATAGAAAATAAACAAAGATACCTTCAATGATGCTGAGATATTTGAAAAACTCCGGACCGCAGGTGCATGCGGGTCCTACGTTTCGCTTGTCTCTTAGCTAGTTCTATCGATCTTTGCCACAGCAAAAAAAAAGATACCTTCGTCAAAATGTTCGTGGTGAAGTGAATAAACTTGTCAAAGATGTCAATAATGAAGCAAGTGATGAAATTCCGAACAAGCAGTAACTCTGACTTAAAAAAACGGCAACAAACACAAACTCTATGCCAGTTAAAA